CAAGATCTGTCTGTAGAACCACTATAGGACCCGTTTGTAGGACCACTATAGGACCAGTCTGTAGGACCACTATAGGACCAGTCTGTAGGACCACTACAAGATCTGTCTGTAGAACCACTATAGGACCAGTTTGTAGGACCACTATAGGACCAGTTTGTAGGACCACTATAGGACCAGTCTGTAGGACCACTATAGGACCAGTCTGTAGGACCACTATAGGACCAGTCTGTAGGACCACTATAAGACCAGTCTGTAGGACCACTATAAGACCAGTCTGTAGGACCACTATAGGACCAGTCTGTAGGACCACTATAGGACCAGTCTGTAGGACCACTATAGGACCAGTCTGTAGGACCACTATAGGACCAGTCTGTAGGACCACTATAAGACCAGTCTGTAGGACCACTACTGGACCTGTGCTGTGGTCAGATGAGACATCAAAGACAGCACCATGTCTGAGATCAATACAATCCTCTTATCAACCTGAGAGCACCTTCATCAAAGTAAAGCACGGTGGTGGCAGCATCATGTTGTGGGATTGTTTCCAGTTGGGACTGGGAAACGAAACACCGGATGGAGGAAAATACAGAGACCTCTTTGAAGGAACCTTGTTGGAGTCTTCCAGAGATTTGAGACCGAGGTTCATCACGCCGATTAGAAAACCTTAAAGTCACGTTTGTCCCCGTTTCCTGTAACGCTGCTCAAGTTGCACTCTGAATGAGCGTGTGCATGAACGATCGATGAAGTGTTCGATTAGCAAAGTGACGGGGAGAAAAAAATGCAGTAAAATCGGAGGAGCGATGGCCAACGTTCAGCTTCTAATCAGCTGAAAATCCAAACATACTAATTACACACGGTGAGCCGTAACGAGCTCTGGCTCCGACGGTCAAACATCAGCTCGTCTCAATCAACGCTTCTCTGGCTCTGGGTGGATTAAAATTAATGCACACACGCTCAGACAAGTGTCAGCGTGTCGTAAATCAGAATACGAGCAGAAGACAAAACTCCCTCCACGATGACAGGAAGTCCCTGCTGCCTTTTTATACACGCTGGAATGGAAACTGGTAGTTCATCACATTTGTTTTCTCCAAAGTGTCGCAGCAGAACGTTCGACAGGAGCTAAAGGAGATGGAAGAACCTTCAGGATGAAAACATGGAGCTTCCTGCCTTTCATGAACGCTTTAAGAAGCACGTCCTGCAGACAGAAGGCAACGCTGCCGTGTGAAGGATTTCATCTTAACGGAGACATCAGGTCATCCGACACCGCGGGACAAAAATATAATCCACCTGATGAGCGAACCATCCGACTTTCACATCAAAAGGTCGGATCTGATTGTGGAAAGCAGCCGAAGGAGATTTGAGCTGGAAGCTGCAACATTTCGCCTGGTTTCAGTGAAACCTACGATCTGATCAGCTGCGTGTGTTCCGCTGGAGAACCTCGCTCTGCTCTATTTTTAGATGCTCGTTCAGAAGAAAGAAAAGAAAAGCTGTGAGGAGAAACTGGGACAACATGCTGGGTTCAAACTGGGAGCGGTCAGATTGTTCGAACTGGGAGCGTTCAGACGTTCTCTGTGTTTTAGTGAAGAAAGAAGAAACGGAGTTCATCGTTCTGATGTGAAGCAGCTTCATGGTGGCTGGTTTCTGCTGGACAGACACGCCCCCTTCCATCCATCCATCCATCCATCCATCCATCATTCATCTTCCATCCACCCATCATCCATCCAACCATCCATCATTCATCTTCCATCCACCCATCATCCATCCAACCATCCATCATTCATCCATCATTCATCCTTCCATCCATCCATCATCCATCCATCCATCCATCCTTCCATCCATCCACCCTTCCATCATCCATCCATCCACCCTTCCATCATCCATCCATCCACCCTTCCATCATCCATCCATCCACCCTTCCATCATCCATCCTTCCATCCATCCATCCTTCCATCCATCCATCCATCCATCCATCCATCCATCCTTCCATCCAACCAACTATTCTTCCATCCATCCATTCATCCATCCATCATCCATCCATCCATCCTTCCATCCAACCAACCATTCTTCCATCCATTCATCCATCATCCATCCATCCTTCCATCCATCATCCATCTATCCATCCATCAAACCATTCATCCATCCCTCCATCAACCATCCTTCCATCCATCATCCATGTATCCATCCATCCTTCCATCCATCCAACCATTCATCCATCTTCCATCCATCCATTCATTCATCCATCCATTCATCCATCCATCCTCTTCCACCTTCCTAGGGAGGCACCATGGGGCCATGCTTACCAGTTGCCCAAACCTCCTCAACTGGCTCCTCTAGATGTGGAGGAGCAGCGGTTCTACTCCGAGTCTCTCCTGATAACTGAACTTCTCACCCTGTCTCTAAGGGAGAGTCCAGCTACTGCAGAGGAAACTCGTTTCAACCTCCTGTATCTGTGATCTCATTCTTTCAGTCACTACCCAGAGCTCGTGACCAGAGGTGAGGGCAGGAACAGAGACCGACTAGTAAACAGAGAGCTTTGCCTTACACCTCAGCTCCCTCTTCACCACAACGGACCAGCACAGAGTCCTCAATACTGCAGATGCTGCACCAATACGTCTGTCAATCTCACGCTCCATTCTTCCCTCACTCGTGAACAAAACCCCGAGATCCTTGAACTCCTCCACTCGAGGCAGAACCTCACCCTCGACCTGAAGAGAACAATCCACCCTTTTCCGACTGAGGACCATGACCTCAGGTTTGGAGGTGCCGATTCTCATCCCAGCCGCTTCACACTCGGCTGCGAACCGTTCCAGTGAGAGCTGGAGATCACGGCACGATGACGCCAACAGGACCACATCATCTGTAAAGAGCAGGGAAGGAATCCCTCCGCCCCCCCGGCTGCACCGAGAAATTCTGTCCACCAACTCGACCCCCCTCCTGCTCTAATTGGACTGTGGCCACGATCCGCTCGGTTCAGCCGTGCAGCTGTGGTCCAACGGGTTCATTAGCCTCCATCAAACGGGCCTGTCAGCTTTTATCATCAGAACATGACTGAGCTGGACCCTATACCCCCACATACATGATCTTACAGGGGTTTATTAGCCGTTTGAAATTGTGACATATTTTCAGTCTTGCTAAATGTAAGCTTAAAAAAACAGAACAAAAAAAAATCATCTAATGAGATTAAAATCGTTGTTATCCATTTCAAATTGATCTTCTACCTTCATCTGTGGTGGGGTCGAAGAGGCAGCAGGTCCAGGAGAGAAACCCAGACCTGACACTCCCCAGCTCCTCCTGGGGGACTCCAAGGTGTTCCCGGGTCAGAGAGGTTCTCTTCGGCCGCTAAAAGAATGATGGCCGCCACGGCCAACTGACCTTAAAAAAACAAAAGAATGGCTAATAGTCAGTCAGTCTTACAGATGTGGAGCTAAAAGTGGGTGTGGTAGTAGCTGAGAATCATCCCCAACATATATTTCAAAGGCTGCTCATTGTTCAAGATCTGCGCTTAAAACCGTGGCATTAACCGTTTCAACCCTGTTTGCCTGTTAGCAAAATATCTCATAATCCTCTGGATGGATTTTTATGAAACGCTGGATACACAGTTACAACTCTTTTCCATTTGGAGACAATCCAGTTTAAGATGGCCACCACAGCTAATCGTCATTAGCTAACACAAAAATGGCTTTATCCCCATGACTTTTACTGGTTCTGTGCTAAAATTGGTGGTAGTAGTAGCTGAGAGTCATACACAGCACACGCAGTACTTTTCTTTAAACAGGTTATCTCTCGGAGACGGGCAGTCTCATTTACAGGAGAGACCTGTAACACAGACACGAAAAATCAGTTGCATGAAATAATACAACAATCATAAAACACAGTGTCGATGGTTAAAAGGGGGCGGAGTCTAACTAAATGTAAGAACAAGGTTTGAAATGATGGCTTCTTCATTTTCTTTAAAATAACATAAAAAGTAAAAGCTTCCATGTTTTATTCTAGAAGTGTATTTTCTGCTGCAGCTTCATTTAAATGTCCATATGTGCCTGTATGACATAATCACACCTCGCATGGTGTCGTGTAGTCCCCCCCCCCCCCCCCCCCCCCCCACCCCCACATCCAACACCCCCCCCCCCCCCCCCCCCCCCCCCCCCCCCCCCCCC